TTCATCCATGGCTGAAAAGTACCATGGTCCTACGACATGACATTCAAAAATCCTACCAAACCATTGAAAGACTCTCTCACTCACTCGCCGTTAAAAATGTAGAGGACAGAAAAGGAGCGAAACGATGGTGGGTGGGTGGATGGATGGGTGGATGGATTTCCATGATAGTCTGATTATGGAACACACTGGCACAAAAGCATCCGATTCCCTTTTGTAAAGAATCTGTCTTGCCTTCCCGGCCCGGTGTCTTTCGGATGTCTGGATGATTCCCTCCCCCACCCCCACTCCCAGCTTTAAGATCAGCCTCCAAAACGAAGCCCTGTGTGCTCTCAAGGTCCCGCCGGAACTACCTCTTCGGAGCGCCCTTCTGAAGGGGAACGTTTTCACCCACGTCATCGCCCTGAGACGGCTTCGGCCTGTCCCTCCCCTCCCCCCACCGCCGCCTCCCTCCCTCCCTCCCTCCTGCTCCTCTTCCTCTTCCTCCTCCTCCTCCTCCTCTGAACTCTTGAGCTTCTCCTCTCACCCCACACGGCGGCAGTGTTGGCCTAGGTATGCTCAGGTGTTTCCTAACCGCATCCAAGCGGACTTCCGCTGTTTGTCAGCTGCGTCGTTCCGGGACCATTTCTTCCTGGACTTTTCCACGGGTGGGGGAGACCTGGACGGGCCGGGCCCAGGCGGCGTGGGGTTGAGGGTGAGGGAGCATGCATACTGGGGGGGGGGGGGGGGGGGAAGGGTGGGGGCAGAGAGGAGGAGGGGGGGGGGGGAGGAGGAGAAACACAACTCCCCAGTGCCAGTGCGTGCCTATGGCCTGGAAAACAGATCACACGCCAGGCTGGCTCCGGAAAAGGGGGATCGGTCATGAGACCGGGCACGTGTGTCCTTTGCAGAGTCCCTGCAGATCGAACAGGCAGGGGCAAATTTTGGGCTTCCCGCAGTTAGAACTGTTCGGCCATTGTGGAAACAGGCGTCTGAAACACCGGGGTTAGGCTCTCGGTGCGATGTCCACAAGCCGTAGCCATTGAAATGTGTGCACACTGGAGCCGCCATGTAGAGGGAGATCTCATCCGACTCCATGTGCTCTTCCAGTGAGTAGGCCGGGATCTCAGGAAGAACAGACATCCAGGGAGTTGCGTGAATCTGAGCGTCACGCTTTCAGAATCCAAGTGAACCAGAAAGGAGGTTCACTCACGTGTGAGTTTGTCTTTCCATAGGCTGAATCCTCTCTTTGAGCAGATTAGGGTTCCGGGGGCAAAAATGGAGCAGAGAGCACAGAGAGTTCCCTTAGGTCCCCTGCTCCTCCCGCAACGGTCTTAGGAACATCCTGCCCCAGAGGAGTGTGCCGGCCACAACCCACCTACACCGAGACGTCAGTGTCAGTCATCCTCGTCCAGAGTCCCCCCCCCCCCCCCCCCCCGTCTGCCCTCGCCTTCACGCCTGCCTGGCATTGTCCGTTCTATACGCTTGTATCGAACCTGCCCGGAGCCCAGCGGCATCTTCCCTGATCGGGGATTGATCGAAAACACCCTGTCCCCTGCCTCATCGGCAGGTGGATTCTTAGCCACTGGACCACCGGGCAGGGAAGTCCCTTCACAGCCTTCTGAAATCATCTACCCTGAAACACGAAATGTTGTCGTCCAAACCATTGGACCGTCACGACTGCAATGAAGGAAAATAGGTTCGTTAAAGAAAGTCTCAACTCCTCAGTGCTTGCCTTAGAACCACAAAGGCATCTCTCTCTCTCTCCCTCTCTCTCTCTCTCTCTCTCTCTCCCCCCCCCCCCCCCCCGCGCCCCACACACACACGCACGCTCCACAGTCCGAAGGAAACCAACTTCTGTGTTTATCCATCCCACTTGTTGTGGCTGTTGTGCCGTCGCTAGTCAAAGAAGCTGATCTAATGTGGAATCCGATGTCTTCTTCTCTAGGACACTTCGAGAAGCAGCAAGAGTGCCAGTTTGTGAGAACCGAAGGCCGGCCAAACCGGCGTGATGTAACCCAGCGATGTGTGTGGTCAGAGGCCCATCTAGATTCGCACTCCAATTCACAGAGGGGAGCAGTGGGAACAGGAGTGTGGACCCTTCCCACTCTCCCAGTGAACAAGAAAGAGCAATCCTTAGAGCTTGGATTTATATTGAGGACTATGTAAACTAAGAACTTGGTCCACTGAGCAACCCTAAAAAGGTCAAAAGTTGATCCAGTCCCTAGGCAGGATCATGAATTAATGTCAATGGCCCCACGTTTAAATCATGACACTAGTTCACCTCTGTTAAGTAGTTTGTGTTCTTTTCTCCTATCTTGACAAATACATATCTTTATACCTGTCTAGGTACAATGATGATTTCTGTATAACTGTCAGCAAAACATCCCCATGGACTTAATGATGATATAGATTTGGGGTTTTGCATGGCAGGCAGTGCTTATGTGAATAATACAGCCAGGTATATGCATCCATATCTGTATGTATCTGTAATGATACTTACTTCATACAATGTGTTTATTGATTTCATTTAAAAAAACTACCAACAGTGCTATTAGACTCACTATTTTCACATAGATTTTTTGTGTGTCCTATTGGCAGGACAGCATAGTCAGTGTCTATCATAGAATCAGAGATACCCCAGGAGTCCCTGGAATGTGAACCTTGCTCGAGGAACTGGACCTTCCAGAAGCCTGGGAGGAGCTGAGCAGGGCTGGGCTACAAAGGAGGGCATAGAGAGAAAGCTGTTTTTCTCAGTCTTCTGAGCTTGGATCAACCCGTCAGTGTTCGCAGGTGAAGGCAACCACCCATGCAACGTGGGAGTACAGTAGAGCAATGGAGAGATCCGCAGGATTGTGGTTTAGTCCATTTCATGTGAACAACTTTTGTTTGCTAGGCCAGGAACAAGTAGAATGTTCTGTCACATCTGGCCCGTGGAAGGGGTATAGGAACCTCATGACCTCACCCACGTAGTGAACCGTCGCCAAAGACAAAGAATTCCTACAGCCAGACGTTTGCAACCACGAACCCTGTCCCTCCATCGCCTGGCCTTTCAGAATGCTACGTGGAACCCTTTCAAGAAGCTTGGGGCGGAAAAAAAAAAAAAAAGAAAAAAAAGCAGCAGCAGCAGCAGCTTGGGGCTTGGAGGTATGGACCCCTGAATTCTCCTCGCTCGGCTCTCCCTGCAAGAAAACGTTGTGTGCTTGCCTGCGCCCCACATGCCAACTTATCGGGGGATCGGACCTCCCAGGGTGCCCCCGCACCTGGCACCCTGCCTGCGTGCGACATCCCAAGAGATCCTATGGAGAAACATCTCCGGCCACTCGCATGGCATCTGCATCGCTGGCAAGTGACCCTTCAGACCTCCACATAGATACGTGAGCACAAACTCTCCTTCACAGTCTGGGACACCTCGTAGGCTGTGTGAGCTCCTCTGGTTCAGCACTCCCTCGATTTGGCTGTGGTTTTGGTTCTGTTCTGCTCTGTTCTGTGTATGCTTTCTGACCCGCATGATCTCTCTGGATAGGGCACCCCCAATCAAAGTGAAAATAAATCGAGTCTGTGTGAATACTATTCATGCATCAAGTGGGGATATCAACGACCTCTATGTGGATCCATAAAAATGGCCGTGTGGTGTTCAGGAGGATCATTCTGTGTTTTCTGGGTGCACTATTTGCTGTCCATTATTTCACGTGCCTTTTGGGCATGGCTGATGGAGACGGACACGAAGCAGCAGGGCAGCAATCTGGCATCTCGGCCTAGAGCGGTTTCCCAAGTGACATCTCAGAACAGGGGCTGAGAAGGCCATGGTCACCCCTCCCTGGGCCCCCCTCGGTGGCCAAGGGGTGGGGGTGGGGGTGGGGCTGACGTTGGAGAGACGGGGGTGGGGGTGGGGGTGGCGGTGTAGAGCTGGGCTAGGGGTTGGGGGCGTGCGAGGCGAGGGGACCGGTCCAGGTCCCCCTGACAAGTGAAAAGTGAAGGCAGGTTCTCTCCCGCTGAGAACTTCCTGTCTTCACGCATGTGAGAGGAGCAGGTTTCTCTCTGATCCACGGCCCTGCATCGTTTTCAGCCTGTTCAAAAAAAAAAAAAAAAAAACAGACAAAAAACGTATTTGTTTATCTCGGCTTGTTTTCCGGCCCAGGCCAAAGACCTCTTCGAGCCTGTCCAAAGGATCTGACAGGATGGGAGGGTGCAGGTCAATCCATGTGTCAAGAAGAGATCCAGGGACTCTGTCACAGCTGTGACTCGGGCCTTTTTCAGAAACAGGCCAATTTTGATGACTCCCTGGACAAGGGAGTCACCCCAGAAGTTTCCTTGAGGGGACCGAGTTGCAGGAGTCGGGGGCGTGGCCCCGCCGCCGCCGCCGCCAGAGGGCCTCCTCAGCCCGGCCGGCCGGCCGGCAGGCAGGGGCTATTGTCTGTGGGCCCCACCCCCACCCTCCCCCTGCAGGGCCTCGTCAGATAGCTTCGTTCAAATGCAGAAAGCTTTCCAGTCAGGTCAGAGCCTTTGACTTTGCCTCGAGCTTCTCTCTATTGAATGGTGATCCGCCCCACCCCCATTTCTCCGTTTCTCCACCTTGAGACGGCCCCTTGGGCACCGCGCGGAGGAAGGGGGCTAGGGGTGGGGGGTGGGGCGGGAGGCTGAGGGACAAACTCGCCTTGTATCATGCCAAAAGAGTCTCTTCCTTTTCGTAACCCAGGGAACCCCACTCATGCATGTGAGGATCACGGACGTGCGTCGAAGCAGCCATCATCACTTGACATCTTCCTCCGTGGAAGGAGGTTTTCATTCCTGCCTGCCTTCAGAGAGACAGAGAAGGAGGGAGGGGCGGAGCATTCCTCTGGCGCTGGCCGGTTCTTGGTTCTTAAGTCACTTGAGTCCAAAACACTCCACAGGGCATGGAGGTTCATGTGCGGTGGGGTGGGGTGGGGTGGGGTCGGCGGCCTACTCCGGACCCCAGCAGTTCCCTCCTCTGACACTTCCCTGAAACCCATGAAAAGCTGAACTGGTGGCTGTGTGTGTGAATGCATGCATGTACGCGTGTACGTGAGAAACGGCGCGTGTGCGTGTGCATGGACCTGAGAGAGAAGCCCCCACCCACCCCCCGCCGAAGGAAAAAAAAAAAAAAAAAGGAGGGGGAGAAAGGGGGGAACAACAACAACAACAGCAACAACAACAACAAAAATCCAGAAGGAAAGAAGGAAGGAACGAGGGAAGGACCAAATAGGTTAGTTAGTATGGGCCTCCATGTCGTGGAAAGAGTTTCTGAGCACAGATCCTCCGTTCAGTGAAACAGCTATCGTATCTCCTCTCAGGAGTCTGTGAGGTCGATGGACGGGTTCGGGAAAGCAGGCCTGGGGTGCAAGCAATCGGGTATTTTTTTCCTCAGAGACACTTGTAGGGAAAGCAAGGAAACATACCGGTTCACCCCTGGAGTGGATTTACTCGAAACCAGTCAGTGGAGGGGGAGTCAGTCAAGGAGATGTCTAGACATCAGAGTTGGGTCCTAGAGCGGGTTGCCATGTCCTTCTCCAGGAGACCTTCCTGGCCCAGGGATGGAACCCGGGTCTCCTGAATCGCAGGCAGACTCTTGACCTTGTGAGCCACCGGGGAAGCTCTGTCAGAAACGTTCACCAAGTCCTCTCGCTTCCATCCGCAGGGCTTCAGGCACAGGGCCTTTTGAGTTCTCCGTCAGCAGGGCAAGAGAACACGGGACATGTCTCCCCCCAGATATCGGAGGCCACTCGGAAAACTTCAGGATCCAGCCCCCCTTTCGGGTGAAGAGCCACACGCAAAGGAACAAACACACGTAGCACAGGACTCTCCTATCCAGCAGTGTGTATCCCCGCTTCACGGAAACATCCTGCGGGCCCGTAAGGAACGTGTGGAAAAAACACTCTACCACCAAGGAGATAAGAACCCTCGCTGAGAGTTTCTGAAGTCTGGAAGGACCAGGTAGAGGGAAAAACAGAAACGATTCCATTCTGCTGATAGGGGTAGTGTTATGAAGTGACCAAAGTGGATGATGTCCCTCTTTCAAAATTCACATTATAAAACATTGTGTCCTTTCGATCCTCTGTTTTTGCTTTGTCTGTGGAAAGCAACAGATTGAACGGTAGGTCCTTTTCTTATTTATTTTATTTTGATTTATTACTTTTTTTTCCCTGCCCGCCCGCCCGCCCGCCCGCCCGCCCATCCATCCCTCCTTCTTCTCCCTGTCTCTCTCGCTTTTCATTCAGGTTAGGGAATTAAAAAAACAGGACAAAACAAAACAAAACAAACAAACAAGCAAGCAAGCAAACAAACAAACAAACAAAAAACCCCAGTATTTCTGCAGGTCAGGAAGCAAACAGTTAGAAATAGACATGGAACACAACAGACTGGCTCCAAATAGGGAAAGGAGCCCATCAAGGCTGTATATGTTGTCACCCTGCTTATCCAGCTTACATGCTGAGTACACATCATGCGAAACGCTGGGTCGGATGAAGCACAAGCTGGAATCCAGGATGCCGGGGTCCAGCCTCGGCAGAATCCAGGGGGTACCCTCAGGATGAACAGCGTCGGCGAGAGAGAGAGAAGACACGTGAGACCAGCCTTGATAGGGCCAAATCGGTGTTTTACTTTTTGACAACCCGTTTTATTCCCTTTCACAGATCGTTTTCAAGGTACAAGATGCTTACTCATGATTACACAGGGTTAGCATGACATCATTTCGATTTTTAGGAAGAGCAGGATTTTTTTGCTTTCTAATTCTATAGTAATTTTTAGCACATGATCTTCTGGCCTTGAGGCTATTAACATTTCATGCAGGTCAGGTGATTGTAAACCTATTTTCCGTTTTTATGGTGACTTTAACTGAAAGGTAACAGGGTCACATAGGGAAATAGTACAGAGTAGAATCATATTCTTGTTAATACAAAAATTAATCTTTCTGCAAAAGTTGTCAGTTGCATTTATCTAAGAAGTTTACCCCATACAGACTCTGCGGCTTCAGTGAGGCAGCTTCTGCCTAGCACTCCTGACTGACAATTAACAACCATCTCATTGTTACCACACTAGGGCTAAGTTCTTATTTCTCTAGATCTTTAACTATATTAACAGTGGTTTTTATAACACAACCTTAGCACATTAAAGGCAAAAATACAGCAAGCAAAACACAGCAAACAAATCACAACCCAATAACCACCTATAGGATAATTTTCTTATGTTTTCTAATAGGACTCCTTTACCCCTTAAAAGAGCTCTATATCTATTGGGGCTTTTATATAATCAGGTTCTTTATGCTATTTCATGATCAGGATATTATAAGCAATCATGCATATTAGTACCAAGCGCATAAATGCATTTGGCTAACAAACTACCAAGCAAAGGAGTTTGAATTAAAACACTCCTTTCACCCTAAACAATCTCATAAAATGCCACCACCTGGGAAACTTATTGATTACAGTTCTAAATGGATTCTTATTTGGGAAGAGACTGGGGAAGGCCTTCCTGCCTGTGTCAGAGTCCATTGAGGCAGGCATCAGAAAGACAGATATCATCTTTAAGGTGGGAGCCGGGGGCAGCTTTTCGAAATCCCTGAACACCTGATCTGCCTTGCCTGCCAGGCTTTCTCCTCGTGACCTTGTCATGGGTGGGATCTCGTGAGCTGGCCTTTTCGAAAACCCCTGAAAACCTGATTCGCCTTGCCCGTCAGGTTTTCTCCCCTGTGGCCTTTTTAGGGGCAGGGTAGGGTCTCGTGTGTTGGCTCCTGGCACCCGGAGAAATACCAATCCCCTCAGATATGCAAATGACACCACCCTCATGGCAGAAATGAAGTATCGAGTGGGTTTACAAAGTCGTGTTCGTTTCAGGTTTTCAGATTCTTTTCCCTGAGAGGTTAATGCAAAGTCATAAGCCTACTCTCCTGGGCTGCATAGTGGGTGCTTGTTTTTTGTTTTTGTTTTGTTTTTTTTTACTACCTGCACTGTAAGCACTTTGATGGTGCTTGTTGACTGTCTTGATGTACCGTTTATATGTGTGCACGTGTTAACCGGACCTCCTAAGTTGACAGTCCTGCCCCTCTTCCCCCCCACAGGTCAGACTGTAGAAATCTTCATGTCAAGGGTGTATTAACAACAGGCATGCTCATCTTAAAGGCACTCCTGTCCTGTGAAGGTGGAGGGAGGGGCGGGAGGGGTAGAGGGACGATGAGGAAGGGAAGGAGAAAGCGAGGAACACGAACACGAACACACACAGTGTGTGTGTGTTTGTGTGTGTGTGGCACGCGCAGGCGTTGCTTGTGTGGTGTGTGGGGGAGAGTGTGTTGTATTGTGTGTGCTGTGTGGGGGCGTAGTGTGTGTGGGTATGGGTGGGGTCTGTGGGGTGTGCCTCCGGGTGGTGCGAGTGTGAGAGGGGGCGGGCAGAGAGACACAGCCAGGCAAAGAACAACACAGAGTGTGTGCATGGGTGTGTGTCTCGCTGTGTCTCTCTGCCCGCCCCCTCTCACACTCGCACCACCCGGAGGCACACCCCACAGACCCCACGCATACCCACACACCCCGCGCTCCCCGCACCCACACTCACCCCGCACTTCCCGCCCCCACACCCTCCCACCACAATCCCCCCCCACCCACACACCCACACACCCACACACACCCACGCCCCATACCACACACGCAAAGGACAACAGAGTGTGTGGGGGAGGGCGGGGAGTGTGTTGTGGGGGGAGCAGGGTGTGTGGGGATGCGTGTGATGTGTGCCTCAGGGTGGTGCGAGTGTGAGAGAGGGCAGGCAGAGAGACACAGCCAGGCAGAGGACAACACAGCGTGTGTGTGTGTGTGGCTGTGTGTATCTGCCCACCGCACCTCACACCCACACCAGCGACAGGAACACCCCACACACGCCACGCACACCCCCACACACCGCCCCCGCAGGCCCACCCCCGCACAGAAAGGACAACACAGTCAGAGTGAGTGAGTGAGTGAGTGAGTGAGTGGGTGGGTGGGTGATGTGAGGCTGGTGTGTGTGGGAGCAGGGTGTGTGTGTGTGGTGTGTGCGGGTACGCGTGTGGTGTCTGTGGGTATACGTGGGGTGTGTCTGTGGCGTGCACAGGTGTGTTGCGTGTGTGGGGGCGTGTGCGGGGGCACGTGGTGTGTGTGTGTGCTGGGTACGGGTGCCACGTGGGGCCGTGTGTGTGTGCAGCGTGGGTGTGTGGGGTGCGCCTGTGGGTGCAGGCGGGCAGAGACATGGCACGCAGACTCTAGACCTTGTGAGCCACCGGGGAAGCTCTGTCAGAAACGTTCACCAAGTCCTCTCGCTTCCATCCGCAGGGCTTCAGGCACAGGGCCTTTTGAGTTCTCCGTCAGCAGGGCAAGAGAACACGGGACATGTCTCCCCCCAGATATCGGAGGCCACTCGGAAAACTTCAGGATCCAGCCCCCCTTTCGGGTGAAGAGCCACACGCAAAGGAACAAACACACGTAGCACAGGACTCTCCTATCCAGCAGTGTGTATCCCCGCTTCACGGAAACATCCTGTGGGCCCGTAAGGAACGTGTGGAAAAAACACTCTACCAGCAAGGAGATAAGAACCCTCGCTGAGAGTTTCTGAAGTCTGGAAGGACCAGGTAGAGGGAAAAACAGAAACGATTCCATTCTGCTGATAGGGGTTTAGCGTATGAAGTGACCAAAGTGGATGATGTCCCTCTTTCAAAATTCATTGTAAAACACTGTGTCCTTTCGGTCCTCTGTTTTTGCTTTGTCTGTGGAAGGCAAAACAGATTGAACGGTAGGTCCTTTTCTTATTTTGATTTATTTATTCACTTTGCCCGCCCGCCCGCTCACCCTCTCTCTCTCTCTCTCTCTCTCTCTCTCTCTCTCTCTCTCTCTCTCTCTCTCTCTCTCTCTCTCTCTCTCTCTCTCTCTCTCTCTCTCTCTCTCTCTCTCTCTCTCTCTCTCTCTCTCTCTCTCTCTCTCGCTATTTCACTCAGGTTAGGGAATTAAAAAACGAAACAAAGCAAAACACAAACAAACAAAAAAAACCCGGTGTTTCTGCAGGTCAGAAGTAGACATGGAACACAACAGACTGGGTCCAAATAGGGAAAGGAGGCCATCAAGGCTGTATATGTTGTCACCCTGCTTATCCAGCTTACATGCTGTGTACACACCATGCGAAACGCTGGGTCGGATGAAGCACAAGCTGGAACCCAGGTTGCCCGGAGAAATACCTATCCCCTCACATATGCAAATGAATCACCCTCATGGCAGAAATGAAGTATCGAGTGGGTTTACAAAGTCGTGTTCGTTTCAGGTTTTCAGATTCTTTTCCCTGAGAGGTTAATGCAAAGTCATAAGCCTACTCTCCTGGGCTGCATAGTGGGTGCTTGTTTTTTGTTTTTGTTTTGTTTTGTTTTTACTACCTGCACTGTAAGCACTTTGATGGTGCTTGTTGATTGTCTTAATGTACCGTTTATATGTGTGCACGTGTTATAACCAGACCTCCTAAGTTGACAGTCCTGCCCCTCTTCCCCCCCACAGGTCAGACTGTAGAAATCTTCATGTCAAGAGTGTATTAACAACAGGCAGACTCATCTAAAGGCACTGCTGTCCTGTGAAGGTTGAGGGAGGGGAGGGGAGGGGAGGGGAGGGGAGGGGAGGGGCAGAGGGACGATGAGGAAGGGAAGGAGAAAGCAAACGAGGAACAGGGACACACACACACAGTGGGTGTGGTGTGATGTGGCGTGTGGCGCGGCGCGTCTGGGGCAGTGTGTTGTGCTGTGTATGTGCGTGTGTGCCTCACGGTGGTGCGAGTGAGACGGGGCGGGCAGAGACACACAGCCACACAGCCACACACTCTGTGTCGTCCTTTGCCTGGATGTGTCTCTGCATAGCCACACATCCCCCCACCTACCACGAGCAACACAGAGTATGTGTGTGTGTGGGGGGTATGCCTGTGGTGTGTGCCTGAGGGTGCGAGCGTGAGAAGGGGGGGGCAGAGACACACCCAGGGCAAAGGACAACCCAGTCAGAGGGTGTGTGGGGGTGGGTGTGTGTACCTGCCTGCGCCCCCTCCCACCCGCACCAGTGACAGGCACACCCCAGACACCCCACGCATATCTCCCACACACCACACACTCTGCCCCTGCCGCACAGAAAGAACAGCACAGAGGGAGGGAGGGAGGGTGGGTGGGTGGGTGGGTGGTGTGCGACGTGGGTGGTGTGGGGGCAGGGTGTGTGTGGTGTGTGCGGGAACGCGTGGGGTGTGTCTGTGGCGTGCACCGGTGTGTTTTGCTTGTGTGGTGTGCAGGGGCGTGTGGTGTGTGTGTGTGCACGGGTGCCGCGTGTGTGTGCAGCGTGGGTGTGGGGGGTGCGGGCGGGCAGAGACACACAGGCAAAGGACAACACAGTCAGAGAGAGAGAGAGTGTGTGTGTGGGGGGGGGGGGTGCCTTTAGGTGGCGCGGTGAGAGGCAGAGACACCGACTCAGGCCAAAAACAACCAACACGCATGGACATCCTACTGAACACTTGGCTGGGCTTCTGTTTTTCTGAGCTCATCGGCTCCATTGACCAAGACCAGTCCCATATGACGTGAATCTGCCACCCTCCCCTCAGACACCATCCAGCCCCTTGTCTTTGGCAGGCAGACCGGAGAGTGTTCCGAGTTGGCGGGGGGTTGGGTGTCACCAGGCGAGCTTCGATCCTTGGCGTTCTGGCCCCGAACCTGACCGGAGTGAGTGGATCCGCGTGATCTCTCGTGTCTTTGTTTGAAACTCTTGGCGGGAGAAGGGAGATTCCCCCCTGCCAAGTGACAAGGCCAAAAAGGAGGAAAAGCCCATTCCACTTGAGTTCAAACACCTGCTCTCCCAATCAAGCAAGTTTCGAAAGTGAGACTTCCAATCCAAACCACAAAGCCGAACTGGCTAGCCACCCACCCTCCCCGTGACCTCTGGCCCAAGGTGCCTCCCCCCCTCCCCCCCCCCGACACAGCCTCCTTCCACAGCCCGAGGGCATTCACAAGAGTTGGCCGGCCCGCCCTGCTCCCTCCGTGGCGGCCCCCCCCCCCCCCCGCCGGGCCATCTAAAAAAGCGACCGACAGGCAGCTGGCGCCCAACCGCCAACCCGCTGTCCAGAGAGCCGACCGCAGCACGGGAGCTCTGGGGGCGACCGGCGGGGACTCGTTGCCAGACAGGGTCCGTCCTAGTGCGCGTTTCTACACTCAGTCACCGACGCGGACAGGAGAACGGGACGCGACGACACTTCTCCAGAACGTCCCTGGGCGAGGTACGACGACCGGACGGGCGGGAGGAGAGCGGAGGGGAGGGAGAAGGATTCTGAACTCCCCACCCACGGGGCAGCGGAATGCACTCCCATCCGAGGGGGACCGCAGGTCAACGTTAGGCGGCGCGAACACAGGCGCCGAGAAATACCTCTCCCTCACCCCCGTCCCTGTCACCACTTTTCAGCATACCAGGAGAAACCCCTTTTGTGACCCCGACGACGGCTCTTTTGGGAAAAGCAACGTACAGCAACAGGACAAATAAAGGACCAACCCACCAAGCCACCAAGCCACCAAGCCACCAAGCCACCAACCCACACTTCATGTTGCAGGCCAACCAAGAGAGGCCCGGCCAGCTGGTCGACCCGCCGCTCCCTCGGCCCGGAGCCCAAATGGGCTCCAGCTGGCCGCCCGGCCGGCCAGCGGCTCGAGCACACAGCACACACCACACCGCACACACCACACCACACACACCCACACCCACACCCCTCACACACACACACACACACACACACACACACACACACACACACCCCGCCACCCCCACACACACACCCCGCACACACCCCCCACACACACACCCCCACACACCCCCACACACACACACCCCCCCCACACACACACCCCCCCCACACACACCCCCCACCCACACACACCCCCCACCCACACACACCCCCCACACACACCCCCCTTCATGTTGAAAGTACCTCTCCGTATTGTGGCAGTGAAACGAAAAGCAAAGGCAGAGAGCCACCACCCACCCACATACATAACCGCCATGAAGAAACTGAACGCATCTTAAGAAGAAAACGTAAACGCCAGAGGACGGGTCATACTGGCGACTCGGCCCGCCCAGGCGAACTCGACCTGGGCACGCAAGTCCTTCCCACAGCCCACTCAATGCAGGCCAAGCAAGAAAGGCCCAGCCAGCTGGTCGACCCGCCGCTCCCTCGGCCCGGAGCCCAAGTGGGCTCCGGCTGGCCGGCCGGCCGGCCGGCCGGCCGGCCGGCCGGCCAGCGGCTCGAGCACACAGCACACACCACACCACACACACCCACACACCTCACACACACACACACACACACACACACACACACACACACACACACACCCCGCCACCCCCACACACACACCCCGCACACACCCCCACACCCCCCCCACACACACACCCACACACACCCCCCCACACACACACACCCCCACACACACACCACCCCCCCCCACACACACCACCCCCCCCCTTCATGTTGAAAGTACCCCTCCGTCCTGTGGCAGTGACACGAACAGCAAAGGCAGACACCCATCACCCCCCCTCCCCCCAGTAACCGCCATGAAAAATCTCAACGCATCTTAGAGAGAAAACGGAAATGCCACAGAGCGCATCGTACTGGCGACTCGGCCCGCTGAGGCCAGTTCGACCTCCAGACACACGTCCCTCAGGCCACTCGATGGAGGCCAAGCAAGGAAGGCCCGGCCCGCTGGTCGACCCGCCGCTCCCTCGGCCCGCAGTCCAAGTGGTCTGCAGCCGGCCGGCGGGTCGAGCACACAGCACACACAGCAGGCAGGCAGGCAGGCAGGCAGGCAGGCAGGCAGGCAGGCAGGCAGGCAGGCAGGCAGGCAGGCAGGCAGGCAGGCAGGCAGGCAGGCAGACCGACCGACACACACACACACACACACACACACACACAGACAGACAGACAGACAGACAGACAGACACCCCCCCCCACACACACACACCCCCCACACACACCCCCCCACACACACACCCCCCTTCATGTTGAAAGCACCCCTCTGTATTGTGGTAGTGACACGAACAGCAAAGGCAGACACCCATCACCCATCACCCCCCTCCCAATAACCGCCATGAAAAATCTCAACGCATCTTAGAGAGAAAACGGAAATGCCACAGAGCGCATCGTACTGGCGACTCGGCCCGCTGAGGCCAGTTCGACCTCCAGACACACGTCCCTCAGCCCACTCGATGGAGGCCAAGCAAGGAAGGCCCGGCCCGCTGGTCGACCCGCCGCTCCCTCGGACCGGAGCCCAAGTGGGCTCCAGCCGGCCGGCGGGTCGAGCACACAGCACACACAGCAGGCAGGCAGGCAGGCAGGCAGGCAGGCAGGCAGGCACACACACACACACGCACGCAAGCACGCACGCACGCACACACACACACACACACACACACACACACACACACACACCCCTTCATGTTGAAAGTACCCCTCCGTATTGTGGCAGTGACACGAACAGCAAAGGCAGAGAGCCATCACCCACCCACCCACCCACCCACCCACATACATACATACATACATACATACATACATACATAACCACCAGGAAGAAACTGAACGCATCTTAAGAAGAAAACGTAAACGCCAGAGAACGGGTCATACTGGCGACTCGGCCCGCCCAGGCGAACTCGACCTCGGTACGCAAGTCCTTCCCACAGCCCACTCAATGTAGGCCAAGCAAGAAAGGCCCGGCCAGCTGGTCGACCCGCCGCTCCCTCGGCCCGAAGCCCAAGTGCGCTCCAGCTGGCCGGCCAGCCGGCCGGCCGGCCAGCGGCTCGAGCACACAGCACACATCACACCACACCACACACACACACACACACACACACACACCGCACACACACACACCCCCCCACACACACACCCCCACACACACCCCACCACCCCCACCCACACACCACCACCCCCACCCACAGACCCCCCACACACACCCCCCCCCACACACCCCCCCCCCCACACACACACCCCCCACACACACACACACCCCCCCACACACACCCCTTCATGTTGAAAGTACCGCTCCGTATTGTGGCAGTGACACGAACAGCAAAGGCAGACACCCATCACCCCCCCCTCCCCCCAGTAACCGCCATGAAAAATCTCAACGCATCTTAGAGAGTAAAAGGAAATGCCACAGAGCGCATCGTACTGGCGACTCGGCCCGCTGAGGCCAGTTCGACCTCCAGACACACGTCCCTCAGGCCACTCGATGGAGGCCAAGCAAGGAAGGCCCGGCCCGCTGGTCGACCCGCCGCTCCCTCGGCCCGCAGTCCAAGTGGTCTGCAGCCGGCCGGCGGGTCGAGCACACAGCACACACAGCACACACAGCAGGCAGGCAGGCAGGCAGGCAGGCAGGCAGGCAGGCAGGCAGGCAGGCAGGCAGGCAGGCAGGCAGGCAGGCAGACACACACACACACACACGCACGCACGCACACACACACACACACACCCCCTTCATGTTGAAAGGACCCCTCCGTATTGTGGCAGTGACACGAACAGCAAAGGCAGAGAGCCATCACCCACCCACCCACCCACACACACACACACACACATACATACATACATACATACATAACCACCAGGAAGAAACTGAACGCATCTTAAGAAGAAAACGTAAACGCCAGAGAACGGGTCATACTGGCGACTCGGCCCGCCCAGGCGAACTCGACCTCGGTACGCAAGTCCTTCCCACAGCCCACTCAATGTAGGCCAAGCAAGAAAGGCCCGGCCAGCTGGTCGGCCCGCCGCTCCCTCGGCCCGGAGCCCAAGTGCGCTCCAGCTGTCCGGCCAGCCGGCCGGCCGGCCAGCGGCTCGAGCACACAGCACACATCACACCACACCCCACACACACACACACACACACACACACACACAC